TTCAAATAGCATGGAATATTTAAATATATTCTTAAAACTGAAGTTCTGTTGCAATAAAATAATTTTTTTAAATCTATCTAGATCGATATAATTTTTGATTACAATTTTAAAAAACATATGCAACTTCAACTGTTCCAGTAAATTAAAAAATTACTACTTGAAATAAACAAATATCAAAGATCGTCCACTATTTCAATACGACATCGACAATCTCAAATCACAATTCATAGATCTAAAAAAGAATCTGCTAAGCATTCCTTCTTGAATAATTCCTCGCCAAGAAATTCCAACGCGTTAACAAAGTCTCCATTATCGAACAATTCTCTCATCCCTCTCGCAATGAATCTTCGTCTTCGCTAGGCGCAACAGGAGGCCAATAACAGTTTCACGCGCGGCACACAATATCTCCCTTCGTTTCTCGATCCTTCCTTTCATAATCGCGATCCTCTCTTGTCTAATTCATAGAAAACGATCTCAAGGACGAGTTTAAGGATCGATTATTACAAATTGACGACGAGCGTATCGAAAGCGGACGCGACATCTTGGATGATATCGACGTATCTGGGAGGGCAAATATCGAGGGATCTTCTTCGTTTTTCTTCCACCAAGTAAACGTGGATCATAAACGGTAAACAGAAATGAACAGGCAGCGTGCAATCGTCGATGTAATGAGCCCGGCACGGGTTGCAAAATATGTAGACGATCGCGGCAAACGGGACTTAGATTTATGTTTTCTGTGAGGCAACGCGGCACGAGATCGGTGTGAAAACGGGTCGCGGATGGAAATGAGACAGTGTCGAAACTTGTGTGTTATTAAAATCATTGCCCTCCCCATTGTAGTAGCGATCTTACACTGGAAAATGATAGGTTGTCGTCGGGACACTTTTCACGAGATTGGATAAGGGTCTGATCCCTTGTTTTAATTGCGTACGCCTTAAGAAGGAGCACAGTTAATTATGATACAGCGATTGTTCAAAGAGTTCATCGTTGAACGAAAAGAAACCTAGAGAAACGAGATGATATGGGAATCACGAAGCTTCTGAAACAACGACAAGCGGTAGAATAAACTAATATTGCACGCCAGGATAATAATCCTCTTCGTAATTTCCCGAGTATCGATCAGGGGAACGTTCAAATGTCAAACGTAACATTTCAACGATGTAATCGTAATGTAATACGAGTGGTGTTTATCAGGTGACACGTAGCGTTAGAAACGTGCGTTAAAAATCGATAGAAATTACTTTCGTGATCGCGGGTCAGATGGTTTAGCTATATAATCATAATGTCCAGGAAAATTTGAGGGAGTAAAATTAGTCGGTAATTATCGAAAGTTGTTGTTCCAAGGAATAGGAATATTCTTTGGTTGTTACAACAAATTTTCCACCGATTTATTTCGTAAATTATTGAGAGTCAGTATCGCCGTGAATATTGGAAAATGTCAAAGTGGAAGAGCGAATCGATCGTGTTTTGCAAAATATATTGGCAAAATATATTGTTACAAATTTAAATTTGTAAAGGGCGCGAAGATATAACGTGAAATCTGATTCGTAGGTGTTGAATAGATAGGAAGAAGATAGCTTGTTCTAACGAGATGATTCGATATATTCATGAGCGCGTATTTTATTGAAATTCCTTGTAAATAATCCCGCGCTTTTTTTTGCGGCTACGTTCTTATAAATTCTCCAACAACACGTTTTTTTTTTTTTCTTGATTACTCGATACCCCGAAATTCGTCGTTCCATTGGGAATCCCGTCCGTTGTAGAATTTCTTTTAATAAACCGGATTGTGGACGTCACAAAAATTCATGCTATGAAAAATAAAAATAAGAGGACCAGTTCTTAGAATACTGTATTAAAATCCGCAAAGTTATTCATACCTAATACGTCACGTCTTTCATTCCTTTACCTATTAATTATTCTTATTCGAGAATTATTATAGAATATCGTAGATATTATGTTTAATTTTCAATTTAAATAGATGTAAAAAATTTTCGGCATATTCTATAAAAAAACTAACTTCGATTTAAAATTTATATATTTATAGCTACTCCTGAACCGAATCGTTCCTCTTCCTCGAATTTCATCGACGAAAACGATCCGCCACAGGATGAACAAGGTCAAACCACGGAATCTTATCGTTATCGCCACCTTGTAACATATATCTGTTTATAATAAGGCTTGTTTCCACGCATCCGTGAGGCGACGAGCTCTCTGGATCGAGATCTATCTAACGAGATATCGGTAACAAGAAAACATATCCAAAAGTATCGACTGACGTCGACATTCCTGGATAATCCTCGCGATTCTCGCGCCTGCAAATCGACGAATCGATGTATCAACCCGTTCTCAGATGGCGTTGAATTATGAATCGAATCATCGTATAACTGAAGAATCGAAAAAAAAAAAATGTCAAGCATAATAACAAAATGAGATGACTCTTAATGCTCTTAATCCCAAGAAACTTCCCAAAATCGACGAATTGTTTAAAGCATGCTCGTGTTTTTTGAGTCAAGAAGGGACAAAGATCGATGACCTGGAGAATTCCGATGAGATTCTTTACGATGAGATAAAGTTTCTTAATAAATTTGTACGAGATCCCTCTTCCTAACGACAGAATGGAATAAGAACTGTCCAAGAATTTTTAACAATTTTGAACCGTGAATAGAAAGATGGGCAAAAATCAAAACGTTTCATCCTTTTATATACGATATATAGCTAAAAGTTTTCTTTAAAGCGTGAAGAAAAAGATATGCTCTAGCTTTCTGTTTCATCATCGTCGAAGCGTAGCAAAGAGGGAGATGAGGAGGAATTAGAGCCGTTCATCCCCCTGGCTGAAGAGAAAGAACAAACGGGGACGAAAAAAGAATCGGGGAGTTTCAGAGTGTCGCGTTACCCGGGCCCGGCACAGGTGCGGCGCTTCGAGGCTGACCAGTGTATTGAATTCCACAAAAATTCTTAACGACGCCTCTCTTTGAGCGTCGCCCATTCTCTCCGTCTCGGTCTCGCATTTCTCCCTCTCGCTCGCTCCTCGGGCTCGCCCCTCTTTCTCGCCGACAAAAATTTCGAGATATACCGGCTCGGAATACCTGTCACCGAGAGCACGCCGTCGGGTATCGAGATTCAGTTATGAAACTTCGATTCCGACAAATACATCGCCGCCATTCTCCTCCATTGTCTAGGAGCTTGCGCAATGTGGATCAACGTGTCTTTTGATCCCTTGCAATTTCGCGAGCAAAAACATCTCTTCTCTATGATTTGTACGATTTACATATTGATTGAAAACTGCTGAATTTCGAAATATTTGATATTAGTTGATTCGATTGATTAATTACAAACTGGACTTATAGAATTATTCTATTTCTTTACTTTTTATTTGTAAATATGGTACGAGATAAATTTATAATCTCGTTGTTCGATTCGATATAATTCCATTTTCTATGAAAATTTACACTTTTCACTAGGAACAACCTTCTTTTGAAGATTTATTAAATCTTCGATCTCTCTTTTTCATTAATTATTTCAAACGTAAAGAACTCTCGAGAAACAAACAACCTACTATTATTATCCCCTCCGAAATACTTAAGCGTGCGACGAACAAGAACAATCTAAAATTTCCATCTATAAAACAGAGATACACGCATCATTGCACAGTGACGTCAAACAGCCGGAACAATGAGAACCGATCGAGAGGTTCGATCGAGGTCCGCGTCCAAAGTCGCCGGGTGGTCGAGTTCCGGCGAGTCCCGGAAGATCGCGGTCGATAAAAATGCGGCGCAAGGCTGGTTCCACGTTATTTTCTGCCATCGGCCACGCCCGACAGCGCGCATAAATCGTGGTAATCGGGCGGCAATCCCATTAGAGGGCCCGCGTTCGATCGATGCCGAGCGAAAAATCGACGAGGAAGGGGGAGAAAGAAAAGGAAAAGGGGGAGAAAAGAGAAAAAGAAGAGAGGCACCGGACCTTGGGCGGTGGCCAGGCGAAGGTAGGCCGCAGGCTGGGCGCGAAACGCGGCTGATTTACGTGCGAAAATGGCCAATTAACAGGCGTGATCGACGCACGAGCCCGGTGTCAAAGTCGCGGAAACGTAGCCTGACCCTGAACGCCCGTTTCGCGGCCGTGCACCTCGGGGCGTGTCCCGCGAGGAAAACGGCTAAGACGACGAAGACGACGACGACGAGCAAACGTTGGAAGACGAAGTTGGAATTCGAGAGTCGTAGCACGTTGTGCAACCATCGAACCGGAATATGCCCGGTCCCCCGAAATTCCTTCTTCGAAGAGGTGGGGGCGAGGACCCGTTTCGAACGGGTTATCGAAATTGCATACATCGAGGTATGGAAGGATGAAATGCGTTTCCAGTTTCTTGGAACCCTATTCTATTCCACGCCCTCCCTTCCGTTCGAGGAATCATCGAGCGGAATGACGAGGGGATTTTTATGACACGGTATGGTGCATCATCCCTGTTGATATTTCGACGAGGTGAAACCGCGCGATACGGATACCCGCAGACGGGGCCTGAGCTAGAACAATGACGCGTTGCGTCACCGTTTCGAAAACCAGTGTTTGCCGGTATGTAGAGTTTGTTTATGAAGCGAGGGAACGGGAAGAGAATACAATAATGGTTGGTTAACGCGAAAGTGTATGGTCTAAGGTTCCCAATTGTTTCGCGGGTTAATTAGTATCGACGTGAAAATTGCGGGTGATGGTGAGGGGGGAGGGGGGAAGTGTGGCATTTGCGAATAATGGTATCGTGGGTGCGTGGGTTTGGAACACGTTGTTCGATACGCTGTTGTTCAATATATTGGTCAATCGAGGTTGGCCGTAGTACAGATGAAACAGAGATAAAACGTATAAAGGTACACATGGAGTAATGTTCCCTCCGCGGCGACAGATAAACAACGCGCGGTTGCAGGTGGAGGACATGCGGGCAAGGCAGAAGCGTAATCGGCGCGACATTATCGGTTATGCAATCAAAACTTCACGTCGATTTACGCTGCTTTCAGATCGAGGCGACAGCGGCTACGACGGCGGTAGCGGGCAGCCCGCTTTCCTGGCACATCCCAAGGCCGTCCTTGGTGGGACGAAGCGAGAGGGACAGTGAGAATGGTAGCTGGGCTCATCATCTGCACCCAAACTCGCCATCCAGAGGATCCACCTCGTCGCAGGGATCCACAGCCAGTACACACGTAAGCGGGGATAAACGGGTTATTTGGACCAGATCTGGTTTATTATCGTATCCTAACACAAGTATCGAGACACTTTCCTTCATTTCTGTTAACGATGTGAACGTTCTTGATATATTCTTGTCCAGTCGAATAGTGAATGGTATTTACATTTCGATTAAACTTAATTTGTTAATAAAGATTGAACAAGAACTTAATCGAATTATATTCTCTCTAATAAATTATAACATCTAATTATTCGTTTCTAATTGTCTTGAAAGCTAAATAATTACTCGTACGAATTTAGATTCGAAGCACAACTTTTTTTTTCGATCTTAGATCTAAAGAGGTTTCCCCGGTTAAATTTAAACGAATTGCAATCTCGTGTTACAGAGTGCCGCATCGGGCACATTACTCCTGACAGCCGCTAACCTGGCCAATCTCGCGGCCATACATCCACCTACAGTAACAGCACCGAAACAGATGGATACTGCATCGGTGGCGAGCAGCACCCACTTCACCGTGGTGAACGGCCTAGGCAGACCGACCACCGTCTACAGGAAGTCCTGCTGCGCGAGAAATCAGCTCACGGTGCTCGTCTGCACGATGAGCTTCCTATTCATGGTCGGTTTGCTGCTTGGGATTCTCTACATGGAAAGTGAGTATCCCCTGTAACGATTCTAATTGATTCGATAGCTCGACTTTTAATAAGAGACTCTTCGATGCTTTGATCTTCGTAGACAGACTAGATATACTTTCTCAGTTATCAAAATAGATTTTTGAAATTTAATCTAAAGAAATTCTAGAATCAAGTCTTATCAAGTTTAGATTTGTATTATTATAAGATGTAAAAAAATTTTAAATGCCTAAGTTTCGAATTTAATTCGAACGTAATATTTTGTTATATTTTCTTTCGTTGAGTTAAATCTCTTAAAAAAAAGGATAAGAATTCGAAGAAAAAGTTGAGAGAAGAAATTCGAAAGATAACGATTTAGCCTACGAAATGATTAACAATGCTACCATATAGAGTGTTTCTAAGTCTAGTCTCCACCAGTCTCCGGTGCCTTTTACTTTTGATTACAGTGAGAATTCGCGACAAGTACCACTAGGTCGACGGGAGCTGGTAAGTCGAGTGATCGTGGACTATCCTTTAGAAGTCTACAGAAAATAGCCTAACGAAGGAGCAACGAAAACGATTGGGGCCAGAAGCTAATGAATTTCTTCGAAGCGTTTAAAATTAGGATTCTCGATCACGAAATTATTCGTATATTTATAATATACATGTATATTATCACTTAGAGCATTAGGACGACTCGATTAGACGTTCTCTGTCAGAGAAAAAAGTTTCAAAGGCTGTATTGCACCGTGTATTCAGCGTGTGTGGTACGTGAAAACTCAGTAATTACATTCATGTAATAAATTAACTTTAGGTAAGGCCGTATAGATAGCACGATCCTAACTCTTAAATTTGAGCCACTTATCTTCTAACGCCAGAAAAACGCAACATTTGATTCGAAATTCGAAATTAATTATTCGTACAATATTTCTTTCCACTTTCCACTCTCTCCCTTTTTATATTAAGTCAGATAACGAAATTAAAAGCGAATTGTATTATTCCTAACTTTGTTTATTATCTCTATTCGAGCTTAAAATTCTTCAAGCTCTGAAACGATTTTTTTTTAATTTAAATTGAATTTAAATAAAAACAATCTAAATATTTTATTTAAATTTTATTTAAATTAAATTTAACAGCGATACTATTGTAAAAAAAGACAATAATAGTCATACGCATAAGTACGTTTGTTCGATTAACTTTGATGGACAGTTCGAAGCAATCGACGAGATGGGAGTAAGATAAGCGAATATGTTAATTTTAGGGGTCGTTATTTAATTGTTACTAACAGAAAAAAAAAGCCTAAATAAAACCTGGATCCCACATATGTCAGGGTATCGTGTTCCAGGGAATGTGTATGGAAAAGAAATGAGCAACGATCGTGTCGATGTCGATCGTTGACTCACAACTGTGATATTACTTGCGTATTAATTAATCGTCGATTCAACAAGAAACTGTCGAACCATGAAGAAAATTATCATGTTGTTTTATTTCATCCTTTCTCCCTTTCTCCTGCCATAAATATACTTGCAACATACTTTGTGTTTTTTCGTTTTATTATTAAGAATTAATTATGAAAATAAATTAAAGATTGAAAAAAAAAATGTTTTTTTAAAGATTTACGAAGTATAATGAAAGTTATATAATAATGTCTTTTTTTCTTTTTTTATCTTTTAGAATATAATTTACGACGAAATTTAATTTAAAAATATAAAGAAAATAATAGCGAATAAAATAATGTATGTGAATAAATTCTAAATTAATTCTGAATTCTAAATTCTAAATTCTAAATTCTAAATTCTAAATTCTAAATTCTAAATTCTAAATTCTAAATTCTAAATTCTAAATTCTAAATTTTAAATTCTAAAATAATATTTGAACGAAATAAAATATTTAATTTTTAAGAAAATTAATATTCTATAAAGTTGATAGTAACTACTAACGTATATTTAAAGCATTTTTAAAGATTCCTATAATTTTTTATAACTTTTATTAATTTACTATTTTAAAGCAAAAAAATTTTTCAAGAATTAAGAATAAAAAATCTAGTCGCATGCATGACTATTAATATTACTTACCTCCAAATCCTGGAGTGTCTGCGTCCATCTGTAATTAGGCAGATCAGCACCATTTCCACTGTTAGGCCTGAGTTTATTTTTTTCTTTCTCATCTTCCTCCTCATCCTCCACATCATCTTCTTTCTTCGAGCTTTCTGCATTATCACCACTTGGGCCAGGAACAGCAGGAGATTCTTTCACTGATTTCTGTAATCAAGATAATAAAAATACATATAACTGAAGAAATATAATCCCAATTTAGATAACTATAACTTGCACATACTTTACTATCTATTTCTTCTTGTAACTTAGCAGCTTGTTCATCGGTTAGCTCGACAATCTTCGATTCTGAATTGAATTTATCCTCTTCAGCTTTCTCTTCTCTTTTTTCTTTTCCAATCTTTCTTTACGACGTTTCTCTTGTTCTGCACGCTCAGCTTTTTCATTGGCAGCTTTGGCAAGAGCTGTAGCTTCATGTTTCTTAAACTTACTAGTGACAAGCTAAAATAAAATATAAACAATGTATATGAACTACAATCCATGATTAATAACGTATGAATTACGTTTATGAAAGATAATGAAACCATTTATATTGCTCAAATTCGTATAAAGAATAATTACCTTTTCTGCAGCTCCTTCACCTCCTCCCGTGTAAAAATCCGTTTTTCGCGCGAGGAAACTGAAGATTGTGTCAAGTAGCTGTGAAATAAACCATATATCGTTAATAGTTTTAGAATTATTCGCGAAATTAACAATCTTGTTCAAAGTGGACCCTAACCTAAACCGGCTACGAAACTATACTCACCTCTTGTACACCGCCTTCGTGTTGCTGGGCCATAGCCAGCAGCATTCCGTCGAATTTCTCTTCGTTTTTCGACATTATTTTCCGAATTTACGAGAAAACTTACTGCAATATACGAATAAATCACAGAAAATGTTTTCCACTGACGTTGAAACCAGCGCACTTTGTTGCCACACCACGTTTCAAATCAGAAACCTCTCGAATTATCGACCAAACACGACCTTAAGCGGTGCATGTTGCGCCATCTCACGTTAAACATAAGCACTAAGGGATATACATGTTCCAAATTTTATGAATATGAATAATTTCATTTTGCATTTTCATAAAATTTGTTCCTGAAATTTAAAAGATTACAGAAAAAAATTTTATTATCCTAAAAAATTGAATTGAACCAAATAATAATTTATCCAAGAGAAATGAAACATGTTAATAGAGCTAATATTTATTCGAAAAAGTCACAAATTCGAAGAAAACGTCGAAGTTCAGAAGAGAATGATAATTCTTTACGATTTTTGATACGCAACATTCCACTGAATGATGCAATAAAAGAGATATCACTTGCAAAACACTCAAGTTGTTCGTCGTAGAACCCTTCACTTTCCTTACGAGCGCGCCCGCGAATCGTTTTCAATTTGATGCAAACGATAATCTCTTACTTCGGCGTCAAAACGTTAATGGGTTTCGCGTAACGAGAACGAAATTATTAACTGGCCCGGCCGAAAATTTATGCAAGGCGAACATTATAAAAAAGTAGGTTAAAGAAGTGAAAACGGCGTCCTTCAGGCGCGAATACCCAGCCTGTTACAATTATTGCAAACAAATAATTTTTCTTCCACCGAGATGATTCATTAGCGAAAGCAATTGGTCCCAGTAAACTCGTGGAGCGCATTCATTATTATATGAATTTTTTATCGATGTAAAGTGGAACAATCGATTGTAGCTCATATTCGATTTTTAACATAGTTCATACATTTTCTATACGTGTTTAAATTACGATTTTATTATTATCACTCAATTGGAATAATAATTATCTTATTATAAAATAAGATAATGGCGTACGATAGGACAATAAGATTTCCAAAAATAATCACTCAAACATCAGTTACAGTCGGACCTGGAACATATGACATATCGGATGTTACTTGTCCAGATAGACATCTTGGTACGAAATTAAATAACCTATAAGATCATAAGTTTTAAGATACGTAAAATAAAATTATATAAAATGAAATTGTTCGTATAGCTGAGTATACTCCCTTTCTCTGTGGAACTGAAAGAAAAACTATTTATGTGCCGAAAGAGATTGCACGATTACCAGGACCTACCTCGTACACTTTAAGATCTCGACGACATATACCAGAACGTAGTTTATAAAAATTAAAATGTTCAAAACTGAATCCAGAGAAATCTAGATGTAGTGAAAAAATTAAAAAATTACAGGGTGGAGCCAGCATTGATTTTAGAGATATTCGGTTTAAGGAAGAAATAGCTGAAATACCAGGTCCAATTTATAACTTAAGTGGGAATTTGCTTAAACGAAAAATAAGATCTCATCCTGGCACATGGAGAGGTCCTCCTGGAAAAGTAATATCTATCTAATCCCCTCGACAAGGTGTAACATTATTAAATTATTATTCAATTTTGATGATGAATCACAGTTATGGCTAAAACGACCCCCTCGTTCGATTATTCCAACGGCCACATCGATTCCGGACAAAGATTATACAGGATACGACATTAATGAATATGGTGTTTTCGTGAAAAATCCTCCTCTAAAGAAAAAGCCAACCTATTTTTACAATGTTCATCGAGGAGTAAAGCATTATTATCTCGTTTAAAAAATTTTTAATATCGTTTTATAATTATGTATATATATTTTCGAATATTTCGATCAAATTTTCAGGAAACAAATACTACTACGTTACTGTACAAAGGTAATTTTTGGAGCAGAATGACAGGAAGAACAGAGCACAAACCCATTTTAACTCCGGGCCCTGGCCATTACGAGCACGAAACGAAGAAGACAGCCAATCAAATACAGGACGAGAAGATAAGAGAAATGAAAAGAATGACATCCTGGCAGCCACGTACCCTTGACATATTGTATAGAGTAAAAATGCGCGAGGTGACTTTACAATGAAGAGAAATAATTTTGAAATACAATCCACAGAATTTGTTGCTAATTAACGATGTTGAGAGTGAATCTTTGCATATAGAATTTGCCAGCACCAAATGCTTACAAGATAAAGAGTGTTTTTGACAAATATTCTAAGACCAGATGCAAATGCGATACTTATGTCGTTGAACCACCACCTTTCGGCCAAACTGCCAAGGTATAATTGTTTAAAATAATCTTTTAGAACAGTTTATTATCATATAGATTTTTGTTGTGTACAGAGATTCGTTGACATAGATTCTGATGTACCTGGCCCAGGTACATACAATCCTATTGTTCCGATAAAATGTACATCTTCCATCTTTCCTGCGCCATTCGGTTCTTATGCTACTCGTTTTAAAAAAGATCCTACGCACTTTGGACCAGGCAAGATCTTTTCTCTATATTAGAATCTCATCTTTCATAATTTGTATCTGATTTTTCAATCGAATATAATTGTTGGTATCTTACCAAGAAAGTCTCTTTCGTTTCTTGTTCAGGACCTAGTGATTACGATTTGAATGTCGGCAATTTAGCTTTTGAGTCGGAGAAACGTTACAAATATACTTACGCAAAAAAAGTACAACCACAGGTATACATGGATACAATTTCTTATTGCGAGGAAGAAGAAAGTTATACCCCGAAATGTTCTCCAAAAAGAATAGAAGAAACGAAAACTCTTGTGCATCATGTTGCTTTTAAATCCAAAGTAGAAAGGTTTCCAGAAATTCAAAAGGTAAACGAAGAAATCAGAAAATAAAATTAAGATAATATTAAAATTATCATTTTAAATGAATAATTAACAACACTATATTTATCAATATAATCAGAATACTACTCTATACATACACACCGTAGTATTATTGAACCGAGCGTATATTTTCCATAGTTCTACTGTCACGCACAGATGTCAGCACCATCCAATCCAACTTTACAACTTTCCGAAATCGATTATTTTGAACTCGTCACTCAATAACTTTTTACAAAATCGACATTAATAATTTCGTAAAACTATTTTATTTTAAGAAAAAAGAAAAGAAGAGAAAGCTAATAATTTTATACCTACGCAAAAAAAATACAACCACAGGAATACATGGATACAATTTCTTATTGCCAAGAACGTTATACAGACCGTAGCACTGAACCGAGGGTATACTTTCCATTAGTTCCACTGTCAGGAACAGATGTCAGCATCATCCAATACAAACTTCTGAAATCGATTATTATGAACTCAATAACTTTTTACAAAAGCGACATCAATTATTTCGTAAAACTATTTTATTTTAAAAAAAAAAGAGAGAAAAGAAAGCTAATAATATTACACCTACGCAAGAAAAATACAACCACACGTAACATGGATACAATTTCTAATTGCGAAGAAGAACGTCATACACACTGCAACACCGAACCGAGGGTATACTTTCCATTAGTTCCACTGTCAGGCACAGATGTCAGCACCATGC